AAAGGGGTCGATTAGTGACACACATTGATTGAGTGATCTTTGTAGGACTGTATATAAAGTAAGCCCTACACTGCACAGCCAATTTTCGAAATCAGTTTACCTCTCATACAGTATACTTTGTTTTTCGGCCCGTACCCAATGCAACCTCACTGTACCCTGAACATGTCCCCTGAGATTGTAAGATATCAGGAACAAAAGTGGCCGGTGCGACATAGTCCAGTGTCATCTTGAGGGTGGTCAACTGATCAATTGACCCACATTTTTGGCAAGGCAATTTTTCTATGTGAACATTACAACATTAAAATCATGAAGGGAATAGCCAACGGATAAAAATCGCACGTTTTTGTAAACTCTTACTATGTACCATGCAAGGGAAATGGCTCCCCAGGGAAAAGGTTTACCCTTAGAACACGTTCCTCTATCTTCCATACTCAACCTAGTTCAGAATCTTTAGATCACCTCATGTGGATAATAGCGGCGTCAGTGCTGCAGGCCGAATCGTTTGGCTTTCGTCGTTGTTGGCTTAACTGAAGCATGCTTTAATGATGCTCTAGTGAGAGTTTTGATACAGTACATATAGGGGGTGGGTGGATTGCGCAGTGGTTAGCGTCGCCATCATTCAAAGTTTTCGTTTTTACTGCAATCTTGGAAACACTGGGTTCGAAACCCAGCACCCTCAACTTTATTAACCGTGGTGTCGATAGCAGAAGTGGTTTTCCGCCCTGTAACGTGAAGAAAAGTGGTCCTGATACAGGAGATGTGGAGTCGGTCCCTGCATCTTCTAGGGTTCTCGGGTTCGAATCCCAGTGCCGGCAACTCTAAGAAACCTATCAAGTCTCTGTTGGTACACACTATCACACGGGATATGGAGTATCCCAGACCTGGTTGACAGGAGAGTGGAACAAGAAAGTCCTTCGCCGGTGAGGCTCAAAGTTCGCAGTAGGAAGTTCAGAACAAAAATCGTGGAAACAATTATGTGTTTACGTCATAGTGGTATGCTGCATTTTGCCCAAAGCGAGGGGTCAGCGTAAATGAAACCATCCATCCATACTGTACATGCAAGTCTTGTTTTGATACCGAACCTATTTAGATTTATTGAAGCAGTTTCTCGCCTTGCAAGCTAACGGTAAGGCCAACCTCTCTGAATAGGGCATGCTCTAACCATGAAGTTCAGATATCTGCGCAGAAGACCCTTTGAGAAATTTATGTCGGCTCGGATTTTGATGTGAGGGCCATAGAGGCTCGAAAAGAAACCTCGAATCGTGAACTGGTTGATATTCTTGGTTTTCCAACCCATTTCGTCAACGTTGGAAAATGACTACCGGAATGCGTCATGATGACTCCAAGCTTGCATTCTTCCTCTCGAAAACGCAGTACTCCAGCGTCTAAGATAGGTGATTCGAACAGCCACCGTCCGCCTACACGTCATGGAAAGACTCCCGTAGACATTAATTTCTCTCAAGATTCTCGCGATGCGGGTGAGAATGAAACTCGGAACAATAAAATTTCTTCCGCGACAACCTCCAACCTATATTTATTTAGTCTTATCACAATCGATAAATTTGATGAATATCCTTCGCAATTCAAGACAATGATGAGTTCGTGGGCTCTTCTCTATGCATATTTGTTTTTCAGCTCCGCTGTATCCGCCGGCCCAGCCGCCTATGGAGTATGTCAAGCAGGATGTGCAACGGTCGTAATGGCCTGTTACTCGGCAGCAGGCTTCACATGGGGAGCTACGCTGGGTGCAACCGCACCTGCTTCTATACTTGCCTGCAATTCGGCTTTTGGAACGTGCCAAGCGGCCTGTGCTTCTGTTCTACTATCACCAACATTTTGAGGGACGATGAATTCTCCCAGGCTCCATATTCGACTGAATTACAAGAATGTATATCAGTAAATCCTCCATACTGTACGAATGTACGACCTAAATCATCCCTTCATGTTGACTGACTCTACCATGGCGCCCCGACATCGCCTTGTATGATATGCTCTTACAAAACCCTAATCATATGATAAAGTGAAGTATATTGGTTTGTCTGGACATGTAATAATACAACCCCGGCTAATGATACGCGTAAGAAGTATAGGGAGCTTAAAATTAGAGACCTGGATTCCACGCAGCGATACGCCCTACTAATGCAGTACATGGCCTTTGCACAACTCTAACCCTTTGGAGAGATGATTGGTAGCAATCATTGTTGGATTAGCTACAAGCAAATGCAAAAGCCTGCATTTCACGATTGATTACGATCTACGACATGCAAACTTTATGATTCTTTATAGCTGTATTAGAGGTTACGTAGTCATGATGTTATCAAAAATTTGCATAGGGTAGTCGTGCCCTTCGGAAAAGAGAAAAGGACATGTCCAAGTCATTTGGCGCCCAGTCAGGCTGGATTTCTGGTTGAAAATATGTATCAATGGCAATCTATTTCTTCAGCAGTACAGTAGTTTTCGAAGTCAGCTATACCTCCATACTCTTTCTTCTTGATTCGGAGAAACCAATTCCGACACGCGCTAGGCTGGTTTGGCTTACCACCTCATAATTCTGGCAGAACTGTTATCGTAATGATGGTGCTTCGGGGAATACTTATTCCAGCCAAATGGAGTAAACAGTAAACACACTAAACCAATTCAGGGTTAGGGTGATTGCTGCCTACCTCTTCCCACACCCTATGCATTTTCTATCCAATTCCGTCTGGATTAACAACCCAAATACCGAAGTCAAGGTCCATCGCGATCATGGGCGGCTGGGACTCCTATTGCGCGATATGTGGCTCAACATTCAAAAGCCATCTCTCCATTGATTTCGATGAACAGACCGATCTAACATACAGTGGAGAAGTCATTGGCGATAGTGATCTTCAATGGCTACACACGCTCCGTGCCCTTGGCCTCAATGCCAACAGCCCTAGAGAGAGAAAGTCAGTAATATCCTCGTTTCATCAAACCACATGCTTATCCTTTCAAGTACAGATCTTTCATCACAGGCCCGGGAATTTATGATGACTATGTGAATCGCTCCTTGGTCATGACTACCAGTCAAATTTCCTAACAGGGTCTTTTAGGGAGCAATCGTTGTGGCTCCAGGCGACGGTTAGATTCGATCTCAAGTTCTAGGTTTTTATCTTGTCTGACACCCTGTATTAGATCCCAATATTCCTATTGATGAAAGAGGCGAAATGCCCTGGTTATGCGCGTATGTTTCAATTTCTCTATCCTAATTTGGTATTAATTCTCGTCAGATACTACGACCCCACGCAGGAGGGAAACCAAGTTGTCTTTCCTTTTCATGAGGTCTGCTATAAGGACATCCTTCTCCGATGTTTTAAGTATGAGAAGATAGACACAGATATGCTTCATGCTCTTTGCGAAGAGAGAAGAGAAGACTTTCGGGATCACCTGGCGTTGGATTACGGCAATCCTCATCCGCTCCGTGAACAATATTGGAAATGCAGAAGAGGCGAAGAGGTAACTCGCACCTTCACTTAAATGAACTGTGGTCTTACTAAGGAAAAAAAACCAATAGGTCCTGGTGACGCATCCCGTTAAGATACCTCAGCTTATAGCTTGCCTGGGAATAATTCAAGACCTTCTAGTCAGTGAGAAAAAGAAATATCGTCAGTCTCGGACGGTACAAATCAGTCACGACATATTCGGCAAGCTGCCCTATGAGTTACGGCAGGAAGTATTCGACTTCCTCCCAATTTCATCCGTGCTCGCTCTAAAATCTGTATCATTTTCGATGCATATTTGTCCAGACCTTTCCTGGAAACAAAAGCTTGAAACTGATATACCTTGGCTTTGGGAAATTCATGATATTGATCCATTCATATCACAGGCTCTAGAGGCCAGATTGTCCGTGATTATTGTAGGACTTGAAAGAGAATGTTGGTACAAAGAAGGGAAAGTTGATCATATTCCTGGACTGGCCAACCGCAGACGGATTTGGGCTGTTTGTGAAGAAATTAGGTCGTTGTACCATGACAAACTGGTCGAAGCTGGAGGGCAGCAACTTGATAGCTAGGCAACTCTAGCTGCTGCCAGGGAAATATTCGTTGCCTCCTAGGCAGAGAACACTAGTCCCTAAGATGTACTGTGGCATGCGCCGAGAGTGCCATAATAATAGAGAACTAGTGACTCATCGCTTGGTTACGATCATTACCATTTCAATTCTGCCAGATCTATAAAGCGGTAGCCCAATGTGGATAAGCGCATTTCGGATTTATTTTCCGGGAAAGAAGTCGCAAGAGTGCGGTATAGCTGATTTCGAAAACTACTACTGTATTAGGCATGATTGGAAATGGTTGCACTCTGTGGCATGTATATACGGAGCTCTACTACCTAGCATAAAGTAAATTCATCTAGATAGGAGAAAACGCCACAGGGATAACCAAAATTTCAATTTTAATCAACTACTGATTTGCACCAGAGAGGAAATACTTCTAGCTTGGGGAGTGGAGAAGAGCAAGCCAAAATAAGGGCAGCCACTCCAAACGACGACCGTTTGTGGCGCCCGATCTGTCGGAGCACCGCCTGTGCGTCAAGGGTTAGTGTGAGGCAGATTAGGGGTCAAAACCAGGTTCAACCAAATTCGAGAATTTGCATAAACATTGCCAAACCACTCCTCGTTGAAGCGATTTGCTATTCCCAGTCTGCCCTCCCTGATTTTCGGCAGCAGTTTCTATTATCTCTTACTTTTCACCCAACAGTGACTTCTTCCCCAATATTCTGGCTGATGCTACAGAGTCTGACCTTCACAGTTACGGATAGTGTTTGTCTCGCTGCGTCTCGCTTTGTTTACTATATCGACTAGTTTTTGTCAATTCTCGGTAGAAGCTACAAACTTTATCTTGGAGTCCTTCATGCTAAAACCGATAGCAAAATATTGCGGGAGTCGGTTGGGTTGTATGTCTACTCCGACAGACATCCATCATACGAGCAGGCCTGGACAAACCATCTCGTCATCTTTCACTTCATCTTCCGAATCCCTCTCGATGTCCAGCGGTGGAAATTCTAAGCGGTCTACTCGAAAACGGCGGGATTTGTCGTGGGGTGATATGCCCCAAGACACACCCTGGGACCTGACGGACCAACCGAGCAAGTGGACTCTAGACATGACCGATACCCCAATCCTGGATATAGACACATGGGTGCGACGGCCGGTTGAAGAGCGCCGGAAGGAGACAGAGCAGAAAGGGAGGGTTCCACGGCCCATGAACTGCTGTACCGGTGGGCCAATACAGAATGTATCAAAAGACAATCGCAGCGGCACAACCCTCGAGACATCTCCTCTATTGCGGGAAAGAGATGCGGAGAAGAACCACAGAGTGTCCGCGACAAATTCCAACAATTAGCCGAGATTGAGCACAACGGTCATGCCGAAGCGCACCCAGGCTACAAATTCAAAAGGAAGGCGCGAAAAAGGCAACCCATTGCCAATCCCATGGCGCATCTTGAGAGTTCTGGATTTTCCGAGAATATCAGTTGTGACTGGTCTTCCGTACAGGGGTTTGAAATTGGCATCCAAAGCCCTAACAATTATCGCTTCTCGGGCACTCATCCCGTAGATATTCTGGAAACCCCCGTCGCTCCCATTGAAGGTGGTTTCCAAGGAGGCTACTTCAAGAGCTTGGTTAGGCTTCCTGGAGAACCGCACTGTGACTTGCTGTGTCCCCAGCCAATCCACCCCCTGACTAACACCCTCTTCGATGGGAGCTTTGTGGACCCTCAGTGGCAAGGAAACCTGTGGCATGTTTAGATCTTGCAGCGCGAGTTGGTATTATAAGTCGTCTGTACCAGATCACTGTGATGCTTTGGCTTTTGTCGAAGCAATCTGGCAAAGACTGGCCAGCATCTATTCTCGTGAGCTGGTGCGAGTGCTATGAAAGTATCTACTAGCGGCGGGCCCAATGTATAGAATGACCTAAATTCGGCCAATGTTGAGTATTTCATGTGAAATTGTCTTTATTACCTGAAAGCACATATGTGCAGCACAGTTGTATCTGATGTCAGGCAAATAGATAATATAGTCGCGTAGCTCTTCTCAATCTCCGAGGCTTACTTTTCAATGGCTCGAAGGTTGGGTACTATAGATTTGTACGACACATCATCCAAACCATGCCATGTCAAATTTCATTGGGGCCATGCTACCAAATTGGATTCGATAGACGAGGAAGTATAAGGGGTAGACAGCACAGGCGGCTATCAATGAGGGTCACCCGCACGATGGTAATACAATTGCTGCGCTAAGGATGGGAGCGGAGGCCCTGGTACCGTTCGGCACCGCCTCCCTGCAACTTGTTAAGGGGATAGTGAAGAAGACCGGTTGGGCTGCTCATGAACGATGCTGAGACTGGTATTGGAACAACTGCTTCCGACCTCATGTCAGGATACGTGAGACCACTCCACTAGTATAGGGTGGGAACAAACCGCCTGTGTAAGCACCTTCTGGCACACTGCTAGTTTGAGAAGCCCCTGATCGGCAATTGGGCCTGCAGAAATGGGATGGTCTGGTGTTTGCAACTTGGGAGTTGGGCGGGCAATTTAGGCCCGGGTTTTGTATGTAAGTGAGCTGGGAGTTGTTTTGGGGTGGGATCGACGTCTCGCTCTTGAGACTGCGATGTGTCCTGCAAATCTGTGCGCGTTCCCAGTTGTGCAATGACCCCCCCCTCTCCCCGGGAGAGAACACAGCCATATTCAAAGCTACAAAGGGGAACATTACCATCATAGTCATCTCTACCCGCCTCAGTAGTGATCATTTGAGTCCCAAGGGCCGAATCCAGACATTCTTCCTCGTTTCGATATGTAAATGCCTGTCTCCAAATACGGTGACCTATAGCCCAATCACCCCTGCTTCTGTACTGTGACGTTCGTGATTTGGTCTGGAGTCAAATCGGAGGCGAGTCTCTTAACATACTGAAAGAGATTCCCAGCGCATGCGGTCCCCCTCGCGGAAACGTACTCTGTAGACTGGTCTAGAGTGAGAAAGGATCTTGCCGAACGATGACAAAGTAACAGCGCAATACACCAACATATAACATACGAACAGCTGAATTTCTCATCTCGTAGCAGGTATTGGCACATGGAGCACTGGATAAGAACACACGAATCATGACTAAAGTTCGAACGCTTCATATGAAAGGCTCAGAACAGGGAAGGTTCCAAGTGTCAAAGTAAAAACCAGATAGACAAGACCGCATCGCCTTAGATCACGTGCCATTCTAGAAACCCTAATAATCGGCTCAAATTTCTTTAAAGTCCGCCAACGAGAGTGATCCGTACATTTTGGTGTAGTTGAGGTGGATCGATTTGCAAATCGAGTCAAATTAATCTTCAGTCTTGGCGAATAATTAAATAAGGCCCCGGGAGAGAGGGACCATTCTCAAGTCAAAATGCCAGGCGAGTAGTAAAAGGATAGCCAAAGCACGAACAGTGGGTTTACTTGCCACATGGCGCGCATAGTTATTCAGTAGATTGTTTTTGGCCGAAACTCTACGTTTGACCCAGGACCGGCAATGGTACTTTCTGAAGGCCTGGCAGGTAGAGACCAAGGATTGGAGGATCCTGGGCCATTTTGAGAGGCAGGAAAGTATAAGGTGCAGACAGCACATGTGGCTATTTATGAACAGGCTCACCCGCACGATGGTAATATATTTGTTGCGCCACGGATGGGAGCGGAGGGCCTTGGTACCGTTCGGCACCGCCTCCCTGCAACTTGTTAAGGGGATAGTGAAGAAGACCGGTTGGGCTGCTCAGGAACGATGCTGAGACTGGTATTGGAACAACTGCTTCGGACCCCATGTCAGGATACGTGGGACCACTAGTATAGGGTGTGAACAAACCGCCTGTGTGAGCGCTTCCTAGCACACTGCTAGTTTGAGAAGCCCCGGATCGGGAATTGGGCCTGCAGAAATGGGATGGTTGGGAGTTTGCAATTTGGGAGTTGGGCTGGAAATTTGGGATCGGATTTTGTATGTAAGTGGGCTGGGGGTTGTTTGGGGGTGGGATATCGACGTCTCGTTTTTGAGACTGCGATGTGTTCTGCAAATCTGTGCGCGTTCCCAGTTGTGCAATGTTGGCGTCTGAAGTACCAATTGGGAGTGGTCGCTGGTACCCAACTCCTTCCAGTGTTCCGGTGGACAGCCCCGATTTATTTGAACTTGCCAGTTCGTGCTCAGGGGTAAGTTCATTGGGGCGACCTCTTCCACCTGCAAAGGCTAATGAAAACAGTCAGTGTGAGAAGCAAAGACACATAGACGAAGAAAAGTGAAGTATAAGGTCATGTGACACATATAGATCTGATACTCTTCAATGGGCCAAGTGACTATGGCGGACACTACACTAGAGGAGAGCTTACTCTGGGGCCCTTCTTCCTGTGACACATTTGGGCCATCTCTTCTCTGCCCGACACACTTTTCTTTTGATGCTCGCTGGCCTCCTTGCCCATTAGGTAGAGCGTCTCGCTCATTGGTCTCCGGCTGGGCAATTAAATTTGGATCAGTGGGATGAACGTTCCCGCCATTAATTGCTGTGAACCTGGATGGAGGTTTTGGCGTGATTTCAACTCGGTGGCGCCGATTGCCCAACGTGGGGGTATCTTCGGCGCTGTCGGGTGTCGAACATACCATCTGTTCGGAAGCGGATTCGGAGGCAACGGCAGCCGGTGAACTTTGATCCACTGTTTCTTCGCTCTCATGCAATGGTGGAGCCATATCGCGATAAAATCTGTCTGTGTTGCCTAGGATCTGCGGCTGAGTAAGGTGTCGCGATCTAGATCGCTCCAGCGGTGGGTGCTTGAGCGTAGTATTCTCATTGCTCGGTACTGCTGCAGTATGGGATGAATGCAAGCTGGGAGTGTCGGATCCAATGATGGCATTGGGTGATCGTGATGCCGGCATAGTATCGAGAACGGCCGGGCTAACCAAAGCTAGTTGACCTGAAGCGGGGCTTGAGGCTGCATTCTTATGGCGAGAACCTGCCTTTCTTCTTTTGCGGAAAGCTGTAACAATAGCAGAGGAACTTCGATAGTGGCCAAAATCTCGCAGAAACGCAGCCTCAAGACTATCCTCTGGTAGATGTTTTCGTTCCATGTACCACTCTGATAAACGGTTCAGGTGCTCAACTTTCCATTTGCGATGAGAACGCACCGCCTGTGCTTGAGATCTCTCATTCAGACATCTTATAATCCATTCCTCGTCAATCGAAGGTCTTCCAGAGGCATCAATGGTTGGCTCATCCATTCCGCAGTTTTGAGGGTGATGCTCTGTCGAGTTACGAGTGGAGCTTGGTTCAGGAACTTGGAAGGGCGTTGGTGACCTGGGCACACTTTCTGTGTGGCTTTCATCATTAGAGCCCTCATTTTCGGAACCTCTAGTCAATAGATTTTCACATGATGAAAATTGCGGAGAAAGCCTCTCTGATGATTGGTTGCCATGTGCAGTGTCTGCCTGCTCCATGCGCATTGTACTGGACTCGGCACAATGGGAAAGCGTTTGGTCTAGCTCTTTGAGTGAGGTATCGCCTTCAGAGGGATGCCGGATTGGCGATTGGATAGGTTCTGATATCCGAGGGGGTTCTAAGGGAGAGCTTCGAGGCAAGCAAGTATCATCCATCTCTGATGTTGCACCGAAAACATTGATTGGATTACCATTCCTTGGCTGACTCTCGCCCACCAGATCTGAGAAACCTGGATGGGCTTTAGGCGATTCTTCCGCCTGGTGGCTTCCACGAACTGGCGACTCACTTTGGCTTGTACCTGACTGAGATTCACGCTCTTGAGGTGCGCGCTGGCACCTTAACATTTGATTCGCAGTATCCTGTTCAGGTACTGCATGTAGATCGCTAGTTTCTGATTCAGGGTCAACCGGTTGAACACCATGAAGGGCGTAAATATCTCCATCCTCGCAGTCTTCAGAATCCAGATATGGAAGCAGGTTCGGGGCTAGACGCAAAGCGTGAACCTCGATGTTCGACCTCGAGAACAGTTGTTGGGTGGAATCCACTGATCCAGAGGGTTGAACCGGTGGTGGGGAGGAGCGTGGTGTCGAAGACACAGGTCCTTTGCGCGAAGTCTTCTTATTGCGCTTCCTAAAAGGACTTTTTCCTGTTAAGAAATACACTTTTGCCTCAATAGCATGGAAAGTCCTTTTTTGTTTGAATGTTCCGTGAAAATTGTGTGCAATCTCTTCCTGCGACTGATTCTTCCGTACTTGGTCTTCGAACCATAGAGGAAGCCGCTTCAATACTTCTGCAGGCCAAGCCTTGTTTTTGGAAACTGGTACATCCAAATTATTAGTACGTTTCTTCAACCTCTTCAGTTTCAATGCCATGGTTCCTATGTACACGACTTACAGTTCCGTGTTCCAACGCCGCGTTTTGAAGCGCTGGCTTGCGCGTCTGTCTCTTGAGTCTCGATAGCCATTACATCCAGCGAATCAGCGTCATTCTGCACTGGTGTAAAGTTTGCTGGCTCTTCGGTTGATTCCAGAGAAAAGGGCGAGCCCGCCGATCTTCGACTTGGCTCCGGATTGCGGCGGAGAACTCGATCTCTTCTTAGTATCTCTTCAAGCACAGTGTTATTGGCTTTGATGACTGCGAGGTGATGTAAGCGAGTGAATAGGATAAATATAATGTTTGAGTGGGCTTACTTTCTGATGCAAGTTGATTCATCCGTGATGTCATTTCGGCTGTCAGCGCCAAGGTGTTTAGTTCTGTCTGTACGTCCTTTTCGTAGGACCATGGTTGAATCAGCTTCCGGGGTAATCCTGAAAGAACCATATTATGTTGAAAAGCAGACAACTGGACAATCACGCCCCGATCCCGCATATGGAAATGGTAGCTGCCATTCCCTTTGTATTCAGCCTGATAATCCCTTTCCTTGACAACGTCAAGCCAATTAATATTGGCACTGGCTTCGTCGTTCTGGAGCGGAAGCACACAAGGCTTCGGTGCTTCAAACATCCCTTCTATCGTCTTCACTAGGACGTCGCTTATGAGGGGAACGTTCAAGAACCCAGCAAAGCTCTCTCGCCCCGCCAGGGCCCTGAAATGTGACCGAGAGTGCTGAAGAACCAAAGACAGCATGTCTTGGAAAGACTTGAAATGCTCAGAATACACGCTTTTCATTTCTGGTAGACAGTTCAGTATGCAGTCATCTTCTCTAATGTTGCGGCCAGAGCCTTCAACAGCGACAGCGTTGGTAACCATCTGGAATGTGACTCGATCTGAGTAAAAATCAGTTGGAAGCCTGTGGGCACATAGAAGAACAAATTACCGAAAACTGCCGTCTAATCGAGGACAAACATGGCAATGTGACAACGTTTCATGAAAAGGTGACAGTGATGTCCGGATGCTACGCAGGGCCCCGACAGCGCTAGTTATAAATCCATTCGTTGACATCACGTGTGTGGATACTTAGATAATTTATCATTTGCCCTTTGCCCGCTAGAGTATATATTATATTACCACTATTTTAATTGGGGCGGTCTTTTTTTTTTTTTTTTTTTTCCCCGCTCCGTGGATCGTGTTTAAACAACAATAATGGCTGGTAGGCCATATTCCTGCGTCTCTAAAATAATGCCTTGGCCGGAGTAAAGTACACTTTTTGTGGGAAGCTCGAGTCCCGAATCTGACCCGTTTGAAGCAGAGTCCACTACTCGTACCTGCGTCCAAATTGTTATCAAAGTATAATTTTAGTGCGGGTGGTTTTCTTCCATAATCTCGCTTCCAATTCAGAGAAAGGAGGGGATGGGAATTACTGATTGGGCAGGGACTCGAGAATAGGTCGGCCCCACCTCCCGTTGTGCTTTCTGTTCAGACTAGAACGGGATAAAATACAGAGTCTAGCCAATGAGACTATACCGCCGCCAAGTGCGGTTGGGAAATCTGGGTTTTTACACGGATGCGGCTAGTGATGGGCGCGTTAGGTACAGACGCCGTAGATCAAAGCCCGTCATTACTCCCACCGTTCATGCTCACCAGAGCCGGATAATCCCGCAATCCTTTCAGTGTTGACTCCGCTTTGAAATAGTAAATCAAACAAGGTCAGTAATATCCCGAATATGCCCATGATATGTATAACACCCACATTGTGTGAAACCTCATAGCTCGTGCTCACATGAGCGTCTGGATAATTTTGGTTGCGTTCATACTAGAGAATCATTATTCTGCTAATAGCCGTATTTGGGATTTGGTTGACTGAAAATGATAGCAAATGTTGCCGTTTGATGACCCCGTATATTTTTGTTACGAATATTGAAGTATAAAGAATAGTTGCGTACCGCAGATGTCAAGGGTTAATGAAAGTTGTTCACAATTGACAGTAATCCTACACGTACCAGGCAAAGGCCCGTCTTTTTCTTTGCTGGCAGGTGGTTTGTCTAATGCGCAGAATGTTCCTGATTTGGGGCTTGTCTTTGTTTAGGGAAAGAGTGCTTGCGTTGAACAAATGGTGAACTGACTGTTGGTCCTGTGCATTTAGTGGGGCATTGGTGAAATAATAAAAAATAAACCGCTTCTAAATTGCTGAACAGTCTTGAGATGCTACTTACTGTGGCACCGATTACATCGAGCGCGGGCTATTATCATGCTCGTGCGCTGTTCAACGGTTCATGGTGATTAATCCAAGAGCTTCTTGTGACTAACTAATAGTGGTCTTCCGCGTAACGACGTCAATGAACGTAAAAAGAACAAAGTCCGCGTCAAGCCTGTTTCTTCGGGAGAGACTGTACCCCACTTTTGTTTAAACCTGCCGCCTAGACAAAGTGTCTATATTTTGCGACCGATCAAACACTTTCATAAATTCTTTGTATGGGCGTGGAGCCTCGGTGGAATTTGGCCAATGATATACATGATCATGAACTTCACTTTACGTGCGCAGACAATAAACAAATATTGGTGTTCAGACTATGTGTATGTGTATGAGACTGTTCACCGTTGCTGGAATAATCTCGTAAGTTGCCACTGGATAGGAACAGAATTTTTCGACTTGGTCTTGCTCCGCTTCTCATTTACCTAGTTTTCCTCAATTCCTATTGTGACATACAACTGCGGGAGGGGCATACAAGGTCCACACAGAAAAATAACCACCGGCCTCACTGTATATCCATCCACCTTGGTCATGATCAGATCAAACTTCAACAGGTAGTCGTGTATTAATTTAAACATTGACATCCTAGAAGTGAATTTGAATGTTATAATATTCAAGGACATCATGCTTCAGAGTAATATTCTACCCCGAGTGGTTTCCTCTGTCGACGCGTACACAACATATCAATCCGCTATCTATGTATTGAGCACCTTGGCCATTTACTCAGAAATTGGCTAGCTGGACACTCTTTTATTTCTTGACACTGCCGAAAGCTTCAATACATTGTAGGTATTTTGTGCAGCAATTCCTCTGCTGACACTAACTGACTTCGTTGTGTAATAGATGCATTGCGTACAAGGGGAGCTACAACACCGAAACCACCGACTAAAGGCAAGATTTGTTATCCAAGGCATTCTTTGTTCTTTCAGTGGTACCATATCACAGCCACTTCCTGATTTCCATCACCCAGCTGTCTCTCTTACCTACGATTCCATCGCAGAGATGACTGGCAAACCATACTTCAATGGGATTTTTGGTCCAAATGAGGTTCGAATTTCAATCTATAATGAGGTCATCATCACCGCACAATTCGATAGTCCCCTAGATGGCGCCACTCGAATTTCTGGGCGAGGTTCATGGGTACAAATATGACGAGTCTGCCGATGACGGGTATCTTGTTTCCAATGTGTCTCTTTTACCATAAATGTACCTTGCACAATATATTTCCTAGTTTCAAGAAGTTGGCTGTCACCTCTGTGTTTGTACTTCGTTCTTTCTGTGGATCCTTCGGGTCGATTTGAGACTCGTAAAGCTTTTACACAGGAGATCGACAAAAACTATAACATAGATATTTCCTGCAAGCCCCTAAGGGCCGCGCGCTCTCTGCTGGGTCGTGGGCCGAATCCAAATACGGAGGGGTTCAAGTATAACCCCGCACTTCAGGCGGCGGCAGGTCGCGAGAGTGTAGAGCGGTGCAAATACTTCTGGGTGGAGGTGCTCAGACTGATGCCCAAGGAGGTTACTATGGTACCGAGTGCTCTTACCGGAGCCACTAGGTACGGAAACCTCGTGATAGTGAATTGGTTTATCAATGCTAAGTAAACAACATATGTCACGATGAAAACCAAAGTCCTAGCTACTGCATCCAGTGCCGGATATTAGTGGGCGCACAGCTAGATTGACAGCTCGTGGGAATCCAGCAAACTACTATTGGGGGTTCCAATGGAGGCGACGATGGTTAGTAGTCTGAACTCGCTTCTTGACTTGAATAAGCCGAGACAGTACTATAGGAGTGCGGAGCTGATTCACTCTAAGATTTTTATAGAAACCTGGGAATGAGCGAGGTCGAACTCAGTTGTTAACAAAGGAAGCCCCTACTAAACAGTATTCCTCCATTCCTGGTCACGGACAGTGGAATTGAACGCCATCAGCACAGACGCAGAACCTATCCATCAAGTTTTCGGCTTTTGTAGGCTTGGTTCACTGTTCGGGCCACAGAGAAAGTAGAACAGCGTGCTAAGACCATCGTACGTAATGCAGAGAAGGCCACGAGTGACCTCATTCGTGATATAGGAGTATTAGAGACGCTTCTAGATCATCATATAATAATTCTATGACAATGGCAGAGCAGTGAGATGCTAAGTCAGCTAGAACCATTGATAGACACAAGTCCCCCAACTCGTGCACCGCTTTATTGAATCTTGCGCAAATCCTGAACTTAAAGGCTTCTTTTCAGATCTGTCGATTGTATTTGCCTTTAATTCTCTTGTGCCGCCAGAAGTCCTCCCGAGACAGAGGAGCTTATCGGTTGTTAGCTATGAAGACCTTCCATGTCCCGGCTTTGCCTTCTGCATCCATAGCAGTCAGACCAATGACATATTTTTCCAGTAAACCTGTAACTGGCCTTCTGAACTTTTTTGCTTCACCTCTACATTCTCAGCGTCCTTACAATAGGATTCGATGGGGAACCATGAATCCTGCACTAATAAGGTAGTTCTTTATTCGTGTGCACGACAAGTGACTGTCTATGTAGCAATTCTATTGCTTCATCACTGAATACTTACTGCCCTCGATTTAACACCTCGGCTGCTGTATATGTAACCCCATATGTCCGATCAAAACTAGTAACCGGCTTGGACTATTTGACAAGGTTAGCCTTCATTAAGGTAGTAAGCAGATCGGGACGCTTTACACTGCGTTTCTTTGTGGACATCTTCGAGGATTGATCGGAAACTAAGAAGGCCGAAAGATCTATATTCTTCACAATTTTATTAGGTAGCTTGAGCGAAATACCTGATCACTTACTGCTCTGGGACTTAATCCGCCTTGGCCACTGTTGAATGTTGCACCAAGCTATCAAATGATAGCAATTGGACGTACTCTAGCTTGGCTGACTGACCACTTGGAGGCTTATTGCGCACAAAATGAGTGTCTTCTCGACAATCTTCATCTTGGGTCCAATAGAATGAGTTTGCGGGAATAATTTTCCGACTAGGCCGACCGATGATAATTACAGAGCGGGTAAACACACCCTTTATATAGAGGCTACAAAGAGAGTTCAGTTGGGAGTAATTCCAAGACACGTGTTCCAATGTTTTCGTGAGACGATCATGAAAGGGAGTTGGATTTTCTGGGTGGTTGGGCTGCTGAAAATGACTGTTAGCAAGACTTGGAACTAAATACGCTGCTGTATTACATGCCCCTCCTTTTCAGGCTTCCTCCTACCACCCTATAGGGGGGGGTCTCACTTATACATGGAAGGGGAGAGCGTCTTGTAGATAATTAACCAATATTAAAAACAGCTAGAGACAACACTACATATAATACGTAGCGCGAGGAAGCAAAAGAAAGACCTTCCTCGCATAATCAGCTGGCGAAGGATGTAAGGCGCGCAGGCATGGCGATTGCAGAGGCTATGAAAATACTGAAGCACCACCAGCTTCCAGAGCCCGAGAATATGATAAGATGATAGGCCATCATCATTACATAGTCGCCGGTGAAAGGGTTGCTAGCATTTCGGAATCTGCTGAGTTTCCTGAGAATCGCCTTTCCCAGCGCTCAAGACTGCACGCAGAAGACTCACTAACTACGGGACGACCATTCCATTTCGCAAACCTACGAGCTCTACCATCTGAACCATGTAGGTCAACAAGCAAGCCACTATATACCATTCCTTATCAATTGTAGCATCGTTGTGGCTCCTCGATCGAATGGGGAGCAAATGAAAGTCAAACAAATGAGGGACGATGAATTAGCTTGTTGTTGCCATCCAGATAATTTATCGGATTCATTCAGTTATTTCAGCCACAAATTCTAATAGATTTACGTTTGAAGATAAATGCTCGTAGAGCTAGTATCTTCTATAACCTCCCACAATATTTTCCACAAACAAATATGGATCGAGCGGCGAAGCAGGTACATGTACCATCGGCCAGATGTTGGACGTCCTTTTTGCATTAAAAGAACCAGGTGTTCCTTGGTTGCGAGGCCGGATGGACAAGCGAAAATGGGATTTTTCCATATCCTGGGTCGCGATAACTTCCTGCACAAGCTTACGGAATTGGGGTAGGCTTCCTAGCATTGAGTCTCCTCGCGCGAGAAAAAATGGGTATACCTCTAACATCCCATCGCCCTCGTTACTCAAGATCCAGAGCCGGATCTCTGCGCAATCTAGCTTCTCCAAAAGGTGGAAAGTAGACAAGTAGATGAAGACATCCTCGGTACAGGTGGACAGTGACAATAGGTCGGGGCCCTTCCATTCTTGGGCGCATGCGCTGTCATAGCTGGGGTAAAAACAGCACTCGATACTCAAGTGACGGCCCATTCTTCCTCCGGTTGGCATTGGGAAGAGAGATGGGTAACTTAGACAAAGGCCCTCATTGCCAGTGGCAAGGAAAGGTGGTGGTGTAAGCACCTCTATGAGCCCGGTGAATGCTGCTTCAGTATCCAAATCCGAATGGTAACCTGGACGAATATAATAAGCGTTGGGAACCGACCCTTATGTATTTCAAAAGCCGCACCTACCGTTCCTTGAAGGTTGATCCATCGTCCCAGTAGTGTTGTATGTGCCTCAATCGGTAAAAAAGCAGGAGTGTGTGCAGGCTCGATCTATTTGACATGTCTTCTAAACCAAATATATATACCTTCCCGGGTATGATGGATTGAAGGTGTGATTTTTTTGGGCTTCAAGGCTAACTGAGAAATTCATGTGCATCGGGTATGTAACTCAAACGGAGTGCGTCACACATTAAACGAGATCTGGCCAGAGCGTCTAAAAATAAACTTATTATCGAAGTAGGCGCGGATGAGTTAGCGTTCAAGCATGATTGGCCTATCACGTACAAAATTCCCCTATCTCTTCTTGGAATTACACCTGCCTCACGTGGTCGGTGATTTTAGCACCCAAAATACGTTATGACCGGTTTGACATCTCGTAGTAATAACGGCATCAATGATGATCTTCGAGCATTTTGAACGTTTGCGTTTCCGACCTGTGTAAGAACACTGGCATTTCCGGTTGGGTAATGCCACTATCCAGTTTCAAATAATCTCTAAGACCTACTCTGCTTGGGTAATACGGATTCTCACTTTCATTTGCCTTGCTAATCTGTCGTCTGATTTTTTGGGGTCCTAATATGGCCCTTCCTCCTTTCTCAATGTATATTTTATTTATATAGTCAGTTTACCCCGGCGCCGACGTCGTTTAGCAGCCATCAAATCGACATTCACTTATTTCTATTTTTTTGAAACTACAACCACCTGCTATTCAATATTTGCGATACGTCATGGATCACATCATTGTTCAACATTACGATGACAGCAAATGGGTGGAAATTCCGTCGAGCGTTGCAACCCCCAAACTCGAAGCTGCACTCCGCAATAAAGATGCGCCGGATGATCAAGATGATTGGAAATGGGACGTCGATCCAAACAATCCCTACAACTGGCCGAAAAAGTGGAAGGTTCAACAGGTGCTGATGGTTGCCTCAGCGGCATTCACAACGTGGGCCAAAATTTCCCTTTGGTGTGCTAGCCATTCTGACTGACGAAACATCTAGCTCGCTTGGCGTGTCTATTTTGTCGCCAGCTCATTCGGAGTTTATGAAAGAGTTTGGGGTCAACAGTACAGTCGCCATTCTACCTATGTCGCTTTACGTGTTCGCCCTGGCGCTAGGTCCAGTACTGGGAGGACCGCTGTCTGAGACAATTGGAAGATATCCCGTTTATATCGGCTCTATATTGATTGGAAGTATATTCACACTAGGCGTTGGGCTCAGTCACACATTTACAGCGGTTTGTGCTTTGCGGTTTCTCTCTGGCCTTTTTTTCGCACCTCCGTTGGCCATAGCTGCAGGAACCATCAATGAAACGTTCAAGCCCTCCTCTCGAGCTATCCCGTCCATTATATTTATCCTGACACATTTCCTTGGGCCTGGTCTTGGGTAAAGCCCCATATCCCCGTATCACAATACTGACAGACTTACTGACGTATGCAGGCCTGTCATTGGTAGCTTTTTGGTCAATCGCAAGGGCTGGCGCTGGACTCAGTGGACAATGCTGCTTATAGCCATGTGTGCCATTATCACTACGTTTCTCGCTCGAGAGACATTTCATCCAGTGATCAAGCGCCGGCGCTTCAAGAACCTTGGCTTATCCTCGCCCTCACCACCATTTTCTTCCAAGCTAAGGGATTTCACAACTGTCGCTCTTCTCCGCCCAGCTCAGATGATTCTTACCGAGCCCATAGTAGCTTTAACCTGCCTCTATGTGGCCTGTGAATTTGCAACACTTTTCTCGTTCTTTGCTGCTTTCCCCCTTGTCTTTCGGGACATTTATGGGTTTGGAATGGAGGCATCTGGTCTTGTGTTTCTCTCCATAGTCGTCGGATGCTTGCTTGGTGCCATCAGTGTGCTGTTATGTGACATATTGCTTTATCGCCGAAAGGCGGCAAGCTATCGCGAGCGACAGGTACCACCTGAGTTTCGTCTCTACCCATCATTAATTGGCAGTATTGGACTACCCATTAGCCTCTTTTGGTTTGGTTGGACATCCAGAGCTGAAATTCCATGGGCAAGTCCGGTGGCTGCAATTACGCTATTTGCTTGGGGAAATATCTGCGTCTTCGTTAGTACCGCTCAGTATATTGTCGACACCTACCAAGGCTCGACGGTGGCAAGCGCGATGAGTGCAAATAGTCTGGCTCGGTATGGTCTTGCAGCTGCTTTCCCTCTTTTCACTGTTCAGAGTGAGTACCCCCAATAGTCCTGCTTGACAACACTTACTGACTTTCAGAGTAGTGTATACGAAACTTGGGATTGCATGGGCCTCGAGTTTGCTCGGATTTATCGCTGTCCTACTGTTGCCTATTCCTTGGGCCTTTTTTTTTGGAGGTAAACGATTGAGAGCGCGAAACCACCAATTATCAGAAGTTGAAGAGCCCGGAACAGAGTCAATTTGACACTACGTTTCTTTGATGCTGTACATATTGCGTCTTCTCATGGGTGTGAGCTGTATTGGAAATCCTGTAGCAATATAGTGGAATAAATATGAAACAATTCCGTGTAGAACGATATTGGATTTGTGCTTTCCTGGCTTGATAAGTTCCAACAAGGATGTACCCCCAGCTGAAGGAAGATTTGAATGTTTTTCTTTTACTTGTTGACTTTATGAATAGTGATTTGATTATCATTCCAATATATCTAAACTGCTGAGGTCGACGTGATTATAAGGTTAAGCTCTCAATCTATCCTTTTTTCCGGCATGGACAGGCACACAATCTATGTTCCAGGTTCCAGTGACTTTTTTTTATTCTTCACTAGAGGAGCAAGTGGGTGTACGCCTAGCGGTGATAAAATTGTTGTATTAGGATGCCTAGTCTGCCGCAACTTGAAAGGCTTTGAATTCTATCGAAGTTTTCTATTACTAGACATACATGGCAAGAATGGCGCTTTGCGCTCCAGCTTCTCATCAACAATATCAATATCCACCCAGCTCTCCTGGACTCTCTCAGAAAGGCCCAAAGCCGCTGTCAGAAAGCTCTTAAGGGATTGACTAAAGCCGAGGAAATCTTTGCTCTGGGGCACATAATGTCCGCCAAAGAATTCATAGAACCATGGGGAAAAGCAACACCGTGCAAGGTTCCGCGTTTGGGTGGGAGAAACAGTTGCATCTAACTCGCCAACGGCGTGGAACATGGGAGTGATAATTTTTGGGGAATAAAAGGCTTCATAGCTCTTGTTCTTTAATTTGAAGCCACTGAGACATATTGCGAATCGTAATTGCGGATGGCGCCTCTGAGCAAGACCAGTCAGACGTGGGATTCTATCCAGGTAATAATGCTCGGACAACTTCAATTACCTTCCATGAAACACCACAAATCGGAGTTCTCTTCTCCAGGATCGACGCAACGATCGCAGTCATGGCGGCACCCGAGGAAAATCCCACTATGCCAATAAAAGGACCATCTTGGTCAAGGGCATCAAGGATGTGCTCAATGGATTTCTCCAAACCATTGATTTTATCATTTTCTGGTTCATCATAGCCCCACACTCTTTGGTCTTTAAGATCGCTGTCGTCCGGGTAGGCTGACAACACACCGGACAGATGATGGAACTCAAAGTCCATCTCATTTGACAGTGTGCGTAAGACATTTCGGACATACCGAGTCTTCGGTTTGAAGATGTCTGCGGACTGGCCATGACCTAATAGTTTGTTAGCTTATAAATGCTGGTGTATTAGAGATGGTGTACCGTGAAGCATTAGGACTTTGTAGATTTTGGTAGACATTGCGAAACTGGGGGAGCTGAAAAAAATGCATGGAACGGCTTGCAGGGGGTTGGTTAATCTTGTATGTTGCGGCTGTACGTTTTTATATATTCACACCCTCGCCAGTCTACTTGTTCTTCATAAAAGCTGAGATGATAAATGGAATGAGTGTGCCACTTATCTCAATGTAGCACGGTAGTTGAACATCGCACCATATCGGTTATTTTGTTTTGCACGTCGCGTTCAAGAGCGCTTTTTCGGTTGATACCATAATGAACTAGCACTGCACCCAACCAAACCGAAATGAAGCTAGGCTTAAGTCTGTTCAATATGTCGTCTAGCCGTCATCTCCAACAAATTAATTAGTCAAGCAGTTGCATTCAGAACTCCAATAACTAGTAGATTAATACCTTTGTACCACTTGTACTACGAAAAACATTATGCGAGCCAGAGAAAGCGTGACGATGAAGTGGATGCCGTTCAACCCCACGAATTATAAGAACAATCTGTCCTGGGCTTTATGCTAGATCACTCAGTTGTAAGATTCTTCGACTTTGAGTGTCGCAAGTTGAAGGGCTTGAGGGGCAGAATATCTCCGCTAGAAAGTGTGTCTCTCCTCAATAGCATATTGTGTCAAGCATACCTTACGAATATTGCATGAGACCGGAAGAATGGATGCTCCGAATACTCGGCATTAGTCATGGAGAAATAGCATAAATAGAGACAACTAGGGGTAATTGAAATACAGAGTCATTGATATCTCCAATGGGTTGGGTACTGTACAAAAATTGTAGAAGACCAGTATAACTTTCCAGTGTCATCGCTCGAATGTTTGCCGGATGTTCTTGATTCTGGCTTTTTCCACCAGTCAACCCGGTTCTAATGTCTAGTCTGGATCCATGTTTCGGTCGACTTTGGATTTCGAATCGGCCCGAAGAGTCATTTGCCCCAAGGAGATATTATGGAGCCATTATATGGGCGAACCATGGAAATGCTTCGAATGTGGGCCCTCGGGGTTTGGAAGCGGCCCACTTTAGGCGTATCTGTAATTACGGACCGTACTAAAGCCATTTTCTTACCCCTGGCGATCAGGCAACCCAATCTGGTTGCATGCATGATTAGTGCCCAGCCTACTCAATACGCTAAGTTAGTTGAGGATCTAAGCAGAGAAAAAGAATTGTAGCTGCCCAAGCTCGAGCAGGCGTCCGGCTTCAAGAGTCGGGGAATTACCGGACATCCTGGAGTAAACATCCACCCTGAAGATGACCTCCGTCACCCGTCCCACGTGATTTGAGCAAGTTACAGGAACTATGGAGGTATGAGACCGAGGTGGAGCTACATCGGATACCAAGGTCAACCTCCGTTGTAACTCGAGGGCAGGACTCATTAGGAAATGGAGCGGTCTATGGCTACTAGTATGTGAAATGTTTGAGTTGATATACTTGAATCTTTGAAGGCAGGTCCTTTCGAGCACAACAAGATGAAAGCAGAGTAGGTAACCCGGAAATCGTCCTTCCCGATCACAGGACGCAATCTGCCCATTTCCTATCGTTTTATAACCAAGCCTGACCGACCTAAGCACAATCTACAGTAGAAACAGAGACCAAGGTGGAAACAATCAGTCGTGAAGGGTGACAACAGCTTCGCTAACAAGCACAATAGTTTCCCATGGTCCTAAAGCACAGGTCAGTGGCAGCCAGGAAACAGATGCAAGCCATGCACATTTCCAGGGCCAGTTCTCTTTCAGCATCATCAGATCACTTATTACCCGACCTTTTTCCTCCTGAGATGACCAGAATTAGTGGCGCTCCCCCAGAGCGGAGCACGAAGCCCCATGTTAGGTTTGGGAATGGGAGAAGCAAGGGAAGAAAGGGAAGAAAGCAATCAAGTTTCACCCAATATGTCTATTCATATATAAAGCTATTGCGGACACCCATCCACAAAGGAACATCTCCATTACCTCCACAAGGCCACCACGTCCATTTATATGCCCGACTTTCCTCTTCCTGTAAGACACTATTTGTCTCCCGTCTGTGATATGCGAATGCGGCGGATCATCCTCCAAAGCTGTGAAACAAAGGCTGGTTGTTCACGCCGCCGAAAGAACGGTTTGGGGCTAATAAAGACTAGACAAGGAGTCAGTAATTGGCAACGCAATGTTAAACAGGCTTCGGTGTCCTACCCGGGGCAGCATGATGTGCTGGATATGGGGGGTCGTAGTCATCTTTTTTCTGTGAGGCCACTGAGGCTCGTGGGCGTGCATTTTCGAATTGCTGCCCTTGCTGTAGTAGTCGACGAGCCCAAGGGCCCGAGACCTTAAGCTTGTGGACAGGGGGGCAGGGAGGGAAGCCCTCCGGAAGCTTCTGACGCCGGTACCGAGCCCTACGGATCATCGTGCGGGTACGTGTAGGCATTCTGTCAGAGATTGGACGCCGTCTTCTAATCCCTTTCCGAAGCTGGTTGTATTTGCCTCGCAGCGATTCGAATGATCTGCCTTTATTGTGTTGCTTGGAATATTCCTCGGCTCTTCTTTCCCAAGACATCCAGAGGTGCTTAGATATCCATTGCTCGAGGTTGTTTTCCTCGGATGCAGTCCAAGGAATATAGCTACCCTTCGGCATTGTGGTGATTGGTTGAAGTGCAATAGCTAAAGAACGGATGTCAAGGTAAGCTAGGAAATCAGTTAGGGCAAACACTGGAAGACAGAAGGTGAAGAACGATGGACGGCATTATTTTAACTGCTGTATACCCAAACCCGCCATTCCTACTTTGAACAAGTGTCTTTTCTCGTGGCGGGTGGTCCTTGTTAAATATTATCCGAAAGTGGAAACTGTCATACAATTTGCCCGGATATGTTGGATGGGTATATGATTAATACGACCTCAGATTTTGTGGTTTGGTTTGTTTTTTTTTTTTTTTTTTTTTTTTTTTTTTCCCTTAAACCAGGATGGTCAAATGATGATAGTATAATTGTGAGTGGTCAATTTGCTTCATGCCCGCCTGAATTACTCTAGTGGGGGTGGTCATAGTGAGGTTCGACTAGGGTTGCAAAAAAATCATAATTGACAGAGTTTTGGTCATATTACAGTCTTACACGACGCTCAGCAAACTAATTTTTACCATATCCTCTTGTTTACCCCTCCGATTCCCCGGGACGGAACGGCTCGTTTACGTCTCTGGTCCTTGGTCATGAATCAACAAAATGCTGCGTCTTGAACAAAGGGTAGACGGCCCGACTTGTGTGCCTACATTCCCTGGGATGATAGCTATTCACTCATACCGCCCACTGCAAAATATGAGACAGGAAAGGCTTCTTGCTAGGCCTATTGGTTCTCTGTGAAGTCCCTTAAAGTAGTATCAAAGCTCTACTACGCGCCAATTCCCCTCCCCCCCCACTTAAGCACCCTTTGTTATGTAGTCTATACCCGGCGTCGCAGGTCTATCCATAGGTCTATCCAACAAATGATTTTTGTATCCGTAGGCCCGTACGTAGTGTTTCTGAAAGCCAAGCCTGCCCGAACCCGAATTGCACAGGGTGTATAGCTCCAGCCCTTACATTGGTTCAAGCTCTGCATCGTTGTCTCCATCCGCGCTATAAATCAAGTCCGATGCCCATCACTGGTGGGAGGGACTAGCCATAAATTCCTTTCCTGTACCTTCCAACTTTCCACCATTCGCTTTTCCCACAAGACCAAGATCCTTAAACTATGGGTATCTTGCAAAATCCTGGTTCCTGTGAGAACCCAGGTCGGTTCTCCAGCCAACTGCGGGATGCTCTTGCCTCCAAACTTCCCAAGCCTTTCGACGTCTGGAGCATTCCCGAATCAGTTGCAATCCAAGAGGAAGACTGTCCTTACGACTTGGAAACGCGGTCCTATGCGGGAGAAAGCCATGTCCCGATGGATGAAGACACAGGAGATGGAGCCGAGGGTGACTGGGCTATGGATACCCAAAGCGTGGCAGACGATGGTCCAGAAGCGGTGCATTCTGGAGAGGCTGATGCTCCCGTATCAATTGGCAAGTGTGTGAGGTGTTTGAAGGAGTATGGCTATCTGCCTCTACATACTAGAGTTACCAGTGAGGCTAATGTCTTTCTAGTCTAGACCGCCGAGCTCGGTGAGTGCACGCCTGGCAAGAAAGCTTGAGACTTGCTCCAATATGGATATGCTAATGGAATTTCCAGGTACGTGGAAATACAGCTCGATGAACAAAATCGCTGGAACGACGAGATTGTACGAGGCATGGAGACCATACAGGGAGCATTCCAGGAAATCTCGGCGCTCAAAGAAGAAGTGGCTATGTTGAAAGACCAACTGAATTCTCTATCCAAAGATAGCCCAGGCACTGGGCGAAGACCCGGACGCCCCCCCAGGCGTGTGGCAGAATAAGGGAAGGAAAAGCGAGGAACGAGGTAGCAGTACCCGCAAGGTCTATGCTGCTAGGGAGTTGATGCAACTCGAGAGTCAGCTGATACAAAGCGCCACTGAGCTTCACCCCCAATCTAGAATCGGTAACGTGTGTGGAAACGGTGATAACTGGACCGGGGAGAGGTGGAATCAAACGGCCCGCCTACCTAGATCGGAGGGTTATTACGCGTGTGGCGTCCGCATGTCTTTACCGCTTTTGTATTTACCCATAGCAAAATAGGCTAAGCGAGATGCCAATCGCAAAACCAGAAATGACAGGAATGTCGCAAAGCCATTTCTTCCCAAACCACCCCTATTACAAATTATATGTCGATCCTCGCGCTAGCGCGTTTAACGAACCGTTCGTCGCATGAAGAACTACCGCCGGGGAGATGGTGCATTGTTCCCGGCGCAATGCGAATATTACACTAATAAGAGGGGGAAACGATTCGAAAACCACGTATCTATAAACGGTCTCGGCTTGCCCGGTCCGGCCGGTACGACTTTCCTTTTTATCTCCCCCTGCAATAGTATCGTGCTGGTATTGGTATGTCGGCATTTTAATGGGCCTCGGACGGGAGCATCTCACAGTGATCGCTGAGACTGTACTACCAA